TCTTTATTTGCTTTTGAAGGTCACTCACGCTCTGCCTTCTTGCAGAGTTCTTCCTAGGGAAATACGTACAGAAAGCTAGACTTTTGAATGGTTGTGATCTGCAGTCTCAGAAAAAGACGTGAAGGCAAAACCATGTGACGTGTTTCTGGAGCAGTGTCCCTGCATCTGGGCAGAGCAGTCTTTGGCCCCCTCCAGGGCTACATTGGCACCCCTAGCACTCAGATGGGTTATTCAATTAGAGTTTGAGGCCTTTAAACATTTCTTCATACTGTTTGAAGAAGCTACAATTAACATCTCCCAAGCAGCTCAGCAGAACTTGGTTGCTAGGCAGCAGACCTTTAAAGACAATTTGTCAATTTCTGCCAAAAGAGAGAAAAGTAGTAAACATTCACATTCTAAGAAAATTGCTTGTTTTCCAGCTTCCAACTTTCTTGCCACAGCAAGGCTTCTCGTTCATCAGTGTCCATTTTATTCTTTATTTAGTTTTCATAAATCATTCAAAGGAGTTTTAGGAGAATGTTTAAGCCTTTTTCAGGCCTACCTCCTGGAAATTCAACACAAAATGATGTTTAGGTTACAATTGGCTGCCATATTTGTGGGCAGTTTTTATATAAATGCACAGAGGCTCCTTTGGAAGGCATGGAGTACCCAGCTGTAGTCTTGGACAGCAACCAAAGAAGGAGGTGGCTGGCTCATGGAAGGATCTTGAGTCATTCAAGATTTCTCAGCACCTAGCATGTGCCAGGCCCTGCTTGCACTGCTGGGCTCCAGCCCTGCGGCTCAGCCAGACCTCACTGAGCTCCCCTTCTGGTGGGGAAGACATGGCAAAAAAAACCAGGAGATTCTAATACAGGGGCTGTAGAACTTCAGACAAAGCCCACAACCCAGCCTAGGATTGGGGAAGGCTTCCTAGAGCAGATGTGGGCTGGACTGAGACCTTAAGGATGAAGTGTGCCAGCTTTACTCTGGCAAGGGAGTAGTGTCCCAGGCAGTGTTCTCCTGTGTGCAAAGGGTTAAAAGTGCTTGGGAGACTGCAAGTGCATCCATGTGGTCACAGGGCCTCATTGGCTCTGCAGTTCAGTCTGGGCACAGTGAGAGGACAGTGGAGAGCCACTGGAGGCCTTGGAACTTGCAAAGACTGCCGTCGGATTTGCGTATTTCAACCCTTGGAGAAGTCACCTGATTTGGCTTCAATTTAACTCAAGGGCATTAGGCAGTGAGCACATGGCCAAAAGGGGCAGGGAGAGCTGGATGGCTCAGGAGTTGTGTTGGCCTGGGTTCATTTGCCACTTCTAGTGCGTAGACCTTGGGTGGGTGATTTAACTAACCTGAGTCCCAGGTTTCTCAACTGTGAAATAGGGATGATGGTAGTACTTACCTCACAGAGTAGGTGGAGGGGCTAATAATAGATTAATTCAGGAACAGCCTTTACACTGTCACTCTGCACACAGTCTCTCCAAGTGTGGGCTGACACCATTATGACAGTGCTGCCCTCCCTGTGCGTCCATGATTCCCGCCTGCTAGTGTCCAGTCTGCCACCCGCTCCCTGCGTGACCCAGGATGAAATGTGAAACTCTCTTGGAACGAGACTCTTTTGTCTTCCCTGAATCTCCCTAACTGTAGTGGGAAGGGACTCTGAAGTTGACCCTGGGAGCCCTTCCTGCTGTGAGTTCTCAGTGCCAGGCCTGGTTCTGGGTCTGGACCATGTCTTCCCAGCTGGTGTGGTGGGACACTCTGGTCTCACCCACTCCACCCTGGGCTGAATGCTTGTCCTTGAGCTTAAAGCCCAGCAGAACAAAGGCTGCCTGTTGCTCAGAGGCGCTTGTTCAGGTCCATGTGGTTGGGGATTTTGGCCACTGGGTTTATCCATGCGGTATCTCACCCTGTTCATGGGGATTCAGAAAGCACTGCCAGGAGCCCGTTAGGGGCCTCAGATTCATCAGATAATTCCCCCAGGGAGGCCCTCGTATTCAGTGCCAGGCACTGAGAATATAGCCGACAGCAGGATGAGGCATGGCAGGGGAGATGACAAGAAACCAGCAACATGAGTCGACCAGGTACTTTTCAGGAGTGTAAGTGCTGGAAAGAAAATGGGGTGAGATGGAAAGTGGCTCAGTCAGGCAGTCGGCACTCCCTCAGTTGGTGATCAGGAAGGAATCCCCGAGGAGACGCCAGTTAAGTTACAGCCCAGGGCTGGGCGCGGTGGCTCATGCCTGTAATCCCAACACTTTAGAAGGCTGAGGCAGGCGGATCACTTGAGGTCAGGAGTTCAAGACCAGCCTGGCCAACATGGTGAAACCCTGTCTCTATTAAAAATATAAAAACTAGGCCAGGTGCGGGTGGCTCACACCTGTAATCCCAGCACTTTGGGAGGCCAAGGTGGGTGGATCACTTGAGGTCAGGAGTTTGAGACCAGCCTGGCCAACATGGTGAAACCCCGTATTAAAAATACAAAAATTAGCCATGCGAGGTGGCAGGTACCTGTAATCCCAGCTACTTGGGAGGCTGAGGCAGGAGAATCGTTTGAACCCAGGAGGCGGAGGTTGCAGTGAACCGAGATTGTGCACCTGCACTCCAGCCTGGGCAACGGGGCAAGACTCTGTCTCAAAAAAAAAGAAGAAAAACAGTTACAGCCCAGGATGAGAGAAGAGCAAAAGGTTTCTAACCCACCTGTGCCTCTTTAGAGGGCACATAGTGACACTGGGCTATTGTAGGGTTGATTTCTAGGGCAGAATGATGCACTGTCCCAAGTGGGTGGTTCTCCATGGCTTCAGAGCATCAGGGCTTGGGATGATGCAGCACTTGGCTTGCTTGGGTGGGGAGAACTTTGAGGCAGTTATGAATCACTTTGGGGTCAGTTCTTCCTTGTCAGGTCCTGTGCTGGGGCCCATAGGGAAATAACCCAGCCCCAGCCCTGCTGAGCTCGGCAGTCTCCAGAGGCCTTCGCTGGCATGGGCCCCTACTGAAGGGCCCCCTAAAAGCACCCAGTGCCTGAGTGTGCCCTCTTGCATTAGCTTTCTTACTACTTGCTAATAAGATATGCAAATTACCAGGGCTGTGAAATCTTAGCCACATTCCATCTTCTGTTTAATTAGCATTTAATTGTAATCTGGTTTTAATTTTTTCACACTGGCATCCTAATTAAATGTTAGGGTGTTAGTCCTAACAATTAAATTATATTGGCAAGTAGAGTCTTCAAAAAACTTGAACTTTTTCAAGCCAGGGCCGTCTCCAGCTAGATGCAGACGTTAATTAGATTCTGCAAGATGCTGCTTCCAGGCCCCTCAGTCCACCCATTTCACTGTTCTCCTTGTGGTTGTGGACCTAGATACAAATGAGGCGCACATAGCAGGCAGAGGTTACCCCTGAATCTGTCTGTCATGAGCCTACGGAAGGCTGAGTGAACTGACTTAGCCCCGGGCACAGCAGTGGATGCTGACTTTTCCAGGGATGAATGTGGGGGTGAAGTTTGGTCTGAGGCCTGGAGTACTCCTTGAAGTGGTGTCTCTTGTCTCAGTGATGTGAGTTCTTTAACTTGTGATTCTCAAGTGACGATGATCACTGGGAAAGTTGGTACCTGAGCAAGTCACATGGTGTCTAGAGGTGCCACCACATTCCACAATAGTGCTTTGTCGGGGGATCACAGCGGGATCAGGTGACTGGGGCAGGAGGCGTTGCCAGTGCCAGCTGGGGCAGAGTTTAGAGTTTGTTCTGAGGTGGAATTGGGGTTGGAGGTGGGAGCAACAGACTAAACTCTGGGAAGAGCAGTTTGCCCCAAGTGAGCACGTGCTCGGGGTGTGACCACTCGTGGCTTTGCTCTGAGGAGTTTGGGCTTGATTAAGAAGGAAGACAACCCTGTCCTTCCTGCCTTCCTACCCGGCCCCCGACGCACAAAGCCCCTGTCGAGTTAGGAGAGTGTCCTTGTTCTTGAGGGACTTTGGAAGTCCCAGCTCATGTGAAGCCGCTATCTAGGCTGCCCTAAGCCCCGGCCATCCCCCGGCTGTTTGCATAAGGTTTGCAGAAGGCCTTTCCTGGGGTTGGCGCCCTGTGGTGTTTTACACCTCCACTTGTGTCTGTGGGTGCAGAAAGATAACATGATTGTGAACCTCCAGTGGAAATGTCTTGAACAGTCACATAATGGCAGTATTTTTAATTTTATTTTATTTATTTATTTTGTTTTTATTTTTTGAGAAAGGGACTCACTGTCACGCAGGCTGGAGTGCAGCGGTGCAATGATGGCTCACTGCAGGCTTAACCTCCTGGGCTCAAGCAGTCCTTCCATCTCAACCTCCAGAGTAGCTGGGACCCCAGGCATGTGCCACCGCACCCAGCTACTTTTTTAATTTTTTATAAATATGAGGTTTCACCATGTTGCCCAGACTTGTCTCAAAATCCTGGGTTCAAGCAGCCCTCCCTCCTCAGCCTCCCACAGTGCTGGGATTACAGGTGTGAGCCACATTGCCTGGCCCTTTTTTAAAAAAAAATTCTTTAATTTTTAAATGTTTTGTAGAGGCAGGATCTTCCTATGTTGCCCAGGCTGTCTTGAACTCCTGGCCTCAAGCAATCCTCCCATCTCAGCCTCCCAAACTGTTGGGATTACAGGCATGAGCCACCACGCCTGGCCATCAGTATTGCTTTCACATTAGCCTTTCTGTCCTCTGAGGTTTTCCTCTTTTTATTTTGATTTTTGCCTTTCTCTGCCAGTCTTTCTCTTTCTCTCGTAGGTCCACTCCCATCTATCCCTCAAACTCTGTCCTTTCATAGGTCAGAGCAATGTGAATTCAGTTCATCACATTTATGGAACATCTACTGTGTGCAAAGCATGTGCAGGGTTCAGAGCTGTGTTATTTATTGTGCTGATTGCTTTTATGTCATCTTATTTGTAAGTGCGCAGGCAGAATGCCCACTTGAGTTGCATGTATCTGCGTCTTCCTCTGGCCTGTGGGGCAGACTGCCCTGAGGCAGTCTGAAGTCACTCTCTCCCCTCTTGCCCCTCACAGGTTTTCCGGACAGACTTGATCACAGCCATGAAGATCCCCGACTCATACCAGCTCAGCCCGGATGACTACTACATCCTGGCAGACCCATGGCGACAGGAGTGGGAGAAAGGTGTGCAGGTGCCCGCCGGGGCAGAGGCCATCCCAGAGCCTGTGGTGAGGTGAGCCAGGCAGCCCAGGCTAGGGGGCCGTTGGAACAGGGGAGGAAGGGGAGGCTGCTTTCCAGGTAGGTGACCTACCAGTCCTGGAATTCCTTTCTAGTCCGTCTCTATTCTGTATTCCATTCCCTTGTCCAACAAACCATTGAAATGTTCCAGAAATACTGGCAGTTTACCTGAGAGGCTAGGGGGTTGGGCTCGGGCTTGGCTGTAGAGCCAGAATGCTTGCGTTCATGTTGCCACTCATATTCAGTGTGGCCTTAGACCATAAATGTAATCTCTCTGGGCCTCAGTTTCCTTATCCATGAAATTGGAATGCTAACAATAACTAACCTACTCATGCAGTTGTAATGTTGAGATAATGGAATGAAATGACGCATGGAAGGCACTTGGCACCAGGCCTGGCACACAGCAAGCACTTCGTAATGTCAGTCCAAACTGGGCCCCAAAGCGGTTCTTTTTTCTTTCTTCTTTAGAGACAGGGTCTTACTTGGTCCCCCAGGCTGGAGTGCAGTGGTACAATCTTGGCCCACTGCAGCCTTGACCTCCCAGGTTCAAGCAATCCTTCCACCTCAGCCTCCCAAGTAGCTAGGACTACAAGCTCAGGCCACCACGCCCAGCTAATTATCATGTTTTGTGTAGAGATGGGGATTTGCCATGTTGCCCAGGCTAGTCTTGAATTCCTGGGCTCAAGTGATCTGTCCACCACCTTGGCCAGCCTCCCAAAGTGCTGGGACTGCAGGCAGCTGTAAGTCACCGGGTCTGGCCTTTTTTTTGAGACAAGTTCTCACTCTGTTACCCAGGCTGGAGTGCAGTGGTGCAATCTCAGCTCACTGCAGCCTCGGCCTCCCAGCCTCAAGTGATCTTCCCACCATAGGCACATGCCACCACACGTGGCTAATTTTTTTGATTGTTGGTAGAGACAGGGTCTTGCTCTGTTGCTCAGGCTGGTCTCTAACTCCTGGGCTCAAGCAACTCTCCTGCCTCAGCCTCCCAAAGTGCTGGGATTACAGGCATGGGCTACCATGCCCGGTGCCAAAGCAGTTCTGATCAGGGAAATCTCCAGACTTTTCACTAGTCTTTAAAAGGAGAGAGATAAAGCATCTTTTTTTTTTTTTTTTTTTTGAGACGGAGTCTCACTCTGTCGCCAGGCTGGAGTGCAGTGCCGCAATCTTGGCTCACTGCAACCTCTGACTCCCGGGTTCTTGAGATTCTCCTGCCTCAGCCTCCCGAGTAACTGGGATTACAGATGCGTGCCACCATGCCCAGCTAATTTTTTGTATTTTTAGTAGACATGGGATTTCACCATGTTAGCCAGGACGGTCTTAATCTCCTGACCTCGTGATCCGCCCACCTCGGCCTCCTAAAGTGCTGGGATTACAGGCGTGAGCCACCGCGCCCGGCCTTAAGCCATGCTTTTGACTTCTTGAACCTTTTAAGGGAGTTCTTAGTGGGGGAGTCAAGTGCCTGGCATACAGCAGATGGTCAGGAAGCCATTGCTATTACAGGCCTCTGGGTAGGTTCCCCTGCCAGGGCTGGTTCAGAGATGAGTCCTCTGGGCTTTATACCCTTCTGGTCTCATGAGATGGAGAGACTTCTGGCCGCTCTTGTCAGGAGGTAGCCACGTGGCCCTGGGTCTTGCCTCCAGCTACGGAGTTCAGCCAAGTGCTTCTTTATGCAACCTGGGAAACCCTCCAAGTCATGTCTCAGGGCAGAGGGGTCTTGTGTCCTGGCCTCCCCCACCCACCAGTCTGCCTGGTCTGGGCAGCTTGGATTTTTGGCTGTCTACTCCTGGCCTTGGCAACCTTGTGGCTCTTGCTCGATCCCATGTAGACCATGCATGGGGCAAAGATCACAGCTGTTACCTCCCTTGACGTTGGCACCCTCGTTTCCTGGCAGCTGCAGCTATGATTGGATCACAGGCACAGCAGACTCGAAGCACCAGTAGGGTGCTCTGTGGGGATTGGAAGGGGAGGGGGCAGGCAATCCTGTTCCAGTGACTCCTGATGGCTGAGTGTTTATTAACACTTGTCTGGGGCCTTCTGAGAATCAGGGGTGCCCCAGGCCTCTCCAGAAGTGAGAATATGTATGCCAGGTCACTGCCACAAGTACCAGTGCCCAGGGTGATGGGGGAAGGGCAGGCCACCAGGTGGGCAGAGCGAGGTCAGTCTTGATTAGGCTTGGCCCAGCAGTCTGTCCTCTCTACTTGATGTCAGTGTCAGTTGGTTCCGGAAACATCTCCTGGCCTGGGTAATTAATTGCAGATGCTTCCATACCAGTAGCTTGGCTTCAGTCTGCCTGTAGGGTGCTTTATCTGTTGACATCAAGAAGAGAGCACGTGTTCCAGCTGCTTTGGCTTTACGAGGTGCATTCCCAGCATAGGCATGGCTGTGCTAAGCTGATGTGAGCCAGGAGCTCCTGGCCTGTCCGTGATCTTTGGAGAGGATGGACTGGGGGTGGGGAGGTGCTCTCTTAGATTCATCTCCACGCCTCTTCTGCCGCTGTCTCCCTCTAGCCACTCCATCCTCCTGGCACCTCCCACTGTGCAGCCCTCATCTGGAAGGCTGCCTGGTAGCCGCCAGGGTTAGAATTGTTAGAGAAACCCTGTTCTTGAGGACTGGCTGTGCTGAGCCTGTGTTCATCTTTTCATTTAACAATCATATTAGCTTTACAAACGACATGTAACTGTCCCCATTTTATAGATGAGGAAGTTGGGAAATTCTGGGGAATTCCCTGCAGGGCCACCAGGCCTAGTGGGCTGGGCCAGGAAATCAGAGGCCCCAGGAACAAGCCCTGGGCTGCCCCTGTGAGGCCCAGAGACAGAGCGCTGTGCCCCCGTCATCCCGGCAGGCTGTTTCTGGCTGCCCTCCCCCAGCTGCCACCCCAGGCCCCCTCTGTCCCTTCCTCCCTGGCCTTTGGGTGGGTCTGCCCACCTCATGGTCTGAAATCTGTCTGAACAATGAGCACTTGTCTCGCCCTTCTCCAGACTGAATTGAGTGAGGGCCTGTCCTGCCCCTCACTGTGGCCAGAAGTCTCAGCCAGGGCAGAACCGACCTCTGGTGTGTATCTGGTCTTCTGGGGTAAAGACCCCCTCCTCTCCCATAGATCCCAGCCAGCTGATGCCCTCCTCTCAGCTGACCTCCATCCTCCTGGCTACAGCTGAGGGTGAGGGCTTGGCCTAGGGTCAGGTCAGTCCACGCCTGGTAGGAGAACTTCCTTCAGAGCCAGAGCCAGAAGGGGGCAAACAGATGAAGAGGAGAGACCCAGGAAGCACAGCAGATACCTTGTGGTGTGAGTCCCTTCACCCTGACTCTACAGAAGGAGCACAGTGATCCTGATCCCAAGAGGCTTGGCCAGGTGGCCGCTGACCAGGCAAGCAGATGTGGGTAGTTATGCCAGGAAGTGGTGGGCATCCGGACACCCCCACTCAGCATGTGCTTAGGGAACAATCAAAGCCGTTCACAACCAAATTACAGGCTGCATTTTTAAAAGAATGTGTTTATTCAAGTAACAGTTTCACGGGGAAAGGCAGAATTGTGTTGGACCGAGGGTATTAGTATCGCTTCCATATGGAATCACCTGTTAGTGTGGGGTGCGGCCATACCATGATCATAACCTAGGACCTGCCTTCATTTGGGCCTCTTGTGTGGGCAAAGGTGGTGCCAAGCCCCTTCCCCTTCTCCATGCCCCTTCGACCTTATATAGACCTTCCTCCTGGCTTGGAGGCCATTCTCTCTCCTGGCCTGGGCCCCTGCCTCCCCGTCCCCTTCATCCTTCCTGCCCTTTTTGCTGACACTGGGTGTGGTGGTGGGGAAGCCCAGGAGCCCTTGCCACAGCTCTGCCATGTCTCTGTGCCATCTAAAGCCCTGCCCCTCCCTCCCTGTCAGCGCTGAGTCACAGCTTCTGGCAGCCTTGCCCCCGACCCCAGGATGCCTCTCAAGTAAGGGGCCTCTCCACCCTGGCAGAGCTGGCCAGATGGAGGCCAGGCTCCGAAGCAATAACCATGGCAACCAGTGGGGGGTGGGAAGAGCTGGCTTTTTGAACTGGCATCAGGAACTGAGGGGCAGCACACAGCTGAGCCAAGAGGAAACCGTGCCCTCCTGAGGCAAAATGCCCCCTATATTCCATTTCAGGAGAGCGGTAACATCCCAAGGTCTCAAGACACACATACACACACAAACACACCACACATAACACACACACACATCACACAGCACACACACACACACGCACACAGTAGTTACTGTGTGCCAGACACTTTCCTAAGAGCTTTGCAAACATTAATCCATTAATCCTCTCACCAACCACATAAGGTAGATATTATTACTATTATTATTTTTGAGACAGAGCTTCGCTCTTGTTGCTCGGGCTGGAGTGCAGTGGCGCGATCTCTGCTCACCATAGCCTCCACCTCCCGGGTTCAAGCGATTCTTCTGCCTCAGCCTTCTGAGTAGCTGGAATTACAGGCATACGCCACCACGCCTGGGTAATTTTGTAGTTTTAGTAGAGATGGGGTTTCTCCATGCTGATCAGGCTGGTCTCGAACTCCCGACCTCAGGTGATCCGCCTGCTTTGGCCTCCCAAAGTGCTGGGATTACAGGCGTGAGCCACCGCGCCCAGCCTGGTACTATTATTATTGACCCATTTTGGGGGATGGGAACACTGGGGCCCAGAGAAGTTGAGTGACTCTCAGAGTCACACAGTAAGTGGTGAAGCTGGGCTTTGAGTCCACACCCTGCGGCCAGGCCTTTCCAAGCTGCCTCAGCAGCAGAGCTGTGGCCGCAAAGGTGGGCTGAGCTGGGAAGGGATCCTGGGACTGCAGCAGGCAGGATTCTTTGTATCCAAGGGATTTGACTTCCATCTTGGTCGTGGGGCCGGGTAACACTGTGTAGCAGGACACTCACTGCTCACATGACATTGTGTCTGGGAGAAGGGCAAGGTGGCATGTGGACCTTTTGTCTGGAAAGGGTCACCCTAGGCCGCAGCCAGGTAACCAGGTAGGGCTCCTCCTTATCTCAGAGGAGAGGTGGCCTCAATTCTACTCAAGTCAATGGGGTTTTCAGGCTGTTGGTAAAAAGGGGGCTTGGGCTTCTGGGAGTATGTAGACAGCCCCTGCCTTGTCCGCAGCCTTGAGGGGTATGCTGAAGGACCTGGAGTCCAGCTGGCACTACCTCACTTGTTGCTGACACAGGCCATTGCCCATGACGGCACATAGGACACCTCCTACAGGCCCTAGCAGGGTTAGATCCAGACCACGGGGCTTTAGCTAAGGCCCAGCCACCCTGATGGGAGGAAGTGGTTGAACCCTGGGCAGGTGGATGTTTATAGGGTGAGCAAGGCTGTGGATCAGCCCTGACTCCCATCCCTCACTGTGCCCTACTGCCCTTTGGGTCTTCTTTGTGCTGCCTGTTCATCCACTCAGTCTCTGAGTCACCCTCAGAGACTCGTCTGAGTCTCTGCAGGGTGGGCAGATGGTGGAGGAAGAAATGAAGGAGGAGGTGGAAGGAGGTGGGCCCTGTGTGGCATCAAAGCACACTTGTCCATCAGCTCCTGAGCTGGACTGGTCAGCTCCCTGGAGCCCCTAGGGCAGCAGGCTGAGGGCTCCTCCCTTCATGACATTTTGTCTTGATTTTCTAGGATCCTCCCACCGCTGGAAGGCCCCCCTGCCCAGGCATCCCCAAGCAGCACCACGCTTGGTGAGGGCTCCCAGCCTGATTGGCCAGGGGGCAGCCGCTATGACCTGGACGAGATTGACGCCTACTGGCTGGAGCTGATCAACTCAGAGCTTAAGGAGATGGGTAGGTGACCACTGCATTAAGAATGGGATCAGGGCAAGGCAGGGAGGGTTTTCTCCCCATCCCGAGAGGGGCAGTGGCCCAGGCATGGATCTGGAGGGAGCATCCATACTGCATTACTGAATGGTGACCTGACTGGTTAGTGTCTCTGTGCCTCCTGAAGTTTCCGCAGCTGTCAGGTGGGGGCAATAATAAGCACATCAGTTGCAGGGCTCTTGGGACTATTGTGGTAAGCACGGATGTTACATGAAGAGTAAGTGAGCATGCAGGGGTGTCTAGGATGGCAAATGGGGCCGGGGTCAGGATGGCAAATGGGGCTGGGGTCAGGAGGTGTGGGCCACCTGGCTGGAGCCCACTAATGTCCCAGGAAGGGCTGACTCTTCCCTATTCGGCCACACTCAGAGGTCCCCTCATACACACAGCACAAGCAGTGCCTTCTCCCATGGAGCTGGCCGCATCCCAGAGACACTTCCATGTTAATTGTACACACGTGTCCCTGTGGTCACAGGCAGGCTGTCTAAAGTCAGAACACCAGGACAGGTGAGGGGCCGTTGAGATGGGATGGTCCAGACCATTCAGTTTTCAGAGGATGGAGCTGCTTCTCCCAGGTCCCACAGTGGATGGACAGAAACCCTCCCAGACATCTGCCCTGAATTCCTGCAGCTCCAGGAGCCAAGTCCTCTTCGAAGCTCAAAGGAGGCTGGGCTCTTAACACCACCACGCCCTGCTGTCCTCCTCACAGAGAGGCCGGAGCTGGATGAGCTGACATTAGAGCGTGTGCTGGAGGAACTGGAGACCCTGTGCCACCAGAATATGGCCAGGGCCATCGAGACGCAGGAGGGGCTGGGCATCGAGTACGACGAGGATGTTGTCTGCGATGTGTGTCGCTCTCCTGAGGGCGAGGATGGCAACGAGATGGTCTTCTGTGACAAGTGCAACGTCTGTGTGCATCAGGTGGGCAGACCCGCCAGTCACCCTCACCCGTGCCATGTATACGCACACTGCCTGGCCGGGCCCCGCCTGGCTTTCCAGAGGCACTGTGGGCAGAGGCCCTTAAGAAGGAGCAGGAAGGGAATGGCGAGGGTGCTTTGTGGTGCCATGTGCACCCAGGGCCCCTTGGCTTAGACCTGTCAGCCAGACTCAAGCCAAAGCCCGTTAGCTTTCTGCTCTCTCCCATCAGCCTCCCTCAGACCCTCTCCTCCTTGTACCCTGTCCCTTCCCCTCCTCTTCTGGTCCTCATGTCTTGAATTTACTAAAAGGCAGCCCACTGTGACCGAGAGCAAAGCTGCCAGATTTCAAATTGTGGCTCTGCCGTTCACAAGCTATGTAACTTTAGGCAAGTTTTGTAACCTCTCTGGGCCTGTGTTTTCTCGATTATGCATAAATAAGAGTGGATTGTTACACGGATTAAATTGTTTACTGTGTGTCTTTGCTTAGAACAGTCTAGTAAGGGCTATACATATTTGTCACCATTACTGGATTTATGCGCCAGTGCAGCCTGGCCAGGCTCCCCTTGGTTTGGGGCCCGAGGCTGTAGGTCTTGAGTATCTCTGGGCCTTGACTGCAGACCTGACTGGGACCTAGTGGACCCACTCTGGCCCTGATTTTGAGGCTGCTCATATGCACCATCACTGGAATAGACCCTGGGGAGCTCAGAGGTAGGGACTTCGCCGGACTGGCAGGTAGGTGGGCAGTGCAAGTCTCATATAAACAAATACATCCCTTATACCCAGCAGCTCTTAGGCTCATGTGTCTCACCCAAGCCATAGAGGGGTGCAGCCCTCCTCATGGATCCCTGTGTAAGAAATATGAAGGCTCTGGGACTTGTTTCCAGGAAGTATACACCCAATTTTGTATTCAACTTAAGGGGATTCTTGAACCCTCCTGAAGTCTATTGCTGGTTAGGAACCTCTGGCTAAAGTGACTTTCCTCCCAGCAGAGGGCAGACCTGAACCCTTTCACAGAGGACTGAAATGGTGACATTTCAGGCATACAAACAGGCCAAGGAGGGCTTTCCAGGAGCCCTTCCTTCCTTGCATTGTAACTCCTCAGAAAGTGTACGTGCCAGAGGCTGGAGGCTGTGTAGCAGTGTAGCATGGGGCTAGCACTGGACCAAATGCAGCTGACTGCTGACCAGACACAGATTGGCCAACTCCACTGACTCATGACCACCCTGCTCTCTCCTAGGCATGCTACGGGATCCTCAAGGTGCCCACGGGCAGCTGGCTGTGCCGGACGTGTGCCCTGGGTGTCCAGCCAAAGTGCCTGCTCTGCCCCAAGCGAGGAGGAGCCTTGAAGCCCACCAGAAGTGGGACCAAGTGGGTGCACGTCAGCTGCGCCCTATGGATTCCTGAGGTGGGTGGGCGTGGAGGTGAGGCAGCCCAAGGAACAGCCCATGGGGAAGTGGGTCTGCATGGGACTCAGGTAGCAGAGCACTGGGAAAGGAAGGTGATGGACTCACATTAAAACACTGGCATCGGCTGGGCACGGTGGCTCACGCCTGTAATCCCAGCATTTTGGGAGGCCGAGGTGGGTGGATCACCTGAGTTCAGGCGTTCAAGGCCAGCCTGGCCAACATAGCAAAACCCCCTCTCTACAAAAATTAGGAGTGCGTGGTGGCAGGCACCTATAGTCCCAGCTACTCAGGAGGCAGAGGCAAGAGAATCACTTGAACCCGGAGGTGCAGGTTGCAGTGAACCGAGATCGCACCACTGCACTTCAGCCTGGGTGACAGAGCGAGTCTCCGTCTCAAAAAAAAAAAAAAAACACACACTGGGATCTCAGGTGATGGGCCAGCGAGGAATCCAGACCACAACTATAGGGAGCTTTGCTTGTGGACTTGGACAGAGCTCAGGTGGTGAGTTCTATGAGAAAATGGGGTTATGGACCGCTAGGAGATTCAGGAGATAGGTATAAGGTCTGGACAGAAGTCAGGCAGCTGACTAGAGGGGAAAGCAGGTTGTGGGGTCCATCTAAACCTAGGCAGTGGTTCCAACCAAAGTCAAGCCACATGTTCAAAACAGAGATAAGCCAACTAACCTTAAAAGAGAATCGGGTGGGAGGCCAAGGCAGGTGGATCACTGGCCAACATGGTGAAATCCTGTCTCTACTAAAAATACAAAAAAAAATTAGCTGGGCTTGGCACATGCCTGTAATCCCAGTTACTTGGGTGACTGAGGCACGAGAATCACTTAAACCCAAGAGACAGAGATTGCAGTGAGCTGAGATCATGCCACTGCACTCCTGCCTGGGTGACAGAATGAGACTCTGTCTCAAAAAAAAAAAAAAAAGAGAGTAAATCAGGCAGTAAGCCTATAGGGACATTGGCTAGTGGGCCTGCTGCTATGGCTGTGGCTAGGATGGCAGGGTGGGCATGTTTCTGAGTCCAGGTGGGAGTGCCACAGGCAACAGGCTGGGTCCAGAGTCGGTGAGTTAGCAGAGGTCCTGGGTGCCCGGAAGGCCAGCCATTTTATTTGAAATGTGAAGTGTTAAAATGCACCAGAGTTTCAGCCCCAGCCCTGCTGTGTGGACTGACTCAGACTGAGGCTCCACTCTAGTGTTGCCTGTGCCCAGAAGCAAGCCAGGTGGCCCTGTCCATAAGTGGCGCTCTCCTTCCTGGGCTCCCAGTCGGAAGCCCACACTGCAGGCTTCTGTCATCACAGTTGTTTGTGTCAGCGGTAGGCACTTGCTTGCGGATCAGCATGTTGAAGACTGGGACCACCTATGAGTGTGCCCTGGGCTGGGCATGGCAGAGACAGAACCAACAGGGACTCCATCATAAAGACCCTTTGGCTCAGGACCCTTGGAGAGAATTGCTTTTTCCATCCTCAGGTGTCAGCAATGGGGAGGCAAATGTGCTCTGCCTCTGGGCTGTGGGGTGGTCTCTGCCCAGTAGACTTGGGCATAGTTGTAGGCCTGTCCCCCTAGGAAGGGCTCAACAAAGGCATATCCCCAGGAAAACCCTAAAGACCTTCAAGAGGAGGTCCCACCATGAGACTTTTTCTTGGTGCCTAGAAAAATAAGTAATATAAACACAGATTGTAACAAGAACTCTGAAGATGTTATTAACAAGGGCCTGAGTGCAGAAAGGAGGGGGATCTTGCATGTACCTGTGCACACACACCAAAGCACCTCTCTGTCAAGGCCCACACAGTCGCAAGCACACACACACAGTCAACTACACACACTGATGGCACACTCACACATTCACAGACAATTTAAGATGAGTCTCAGATGAGCACACACTAACACACTCATCCAGTGGTCAGCTTGGGAGAGTTAGGAGGAATTCCGGCCTTTGAGCCATGCTTGTTTGGTGTCAGGAGGGACTTGAGATTTAGGGGCTCAGCCACTGCCCTGTCTGCCCACCACCTAGTTTCAGCAGACAAACCCCCATTTTGGAGATCCCTGGAGGCAGGCTGGGGATGAGAGGAATGATACAGCCCCCTGTGTCCTGCCCAGGTCAGCATCGGCTGCCCAGAGAAGATGGAGCCCATCACCAAGATCTCGCATATCCCAGCCAGCCGCTGGGCTCTGTCCTGCAGCCTCTGCAAGGAATGCACAGGCACCTGCATCCAGGTATGTGGACTACTTCACCCTCCTGCTGCCAGGAGCCGGCTGAGAGAGAGGCATGCTTGGGGCCTCGGACAGCAGCTGCCACCACCCTCTCCCCTCCATGGGGCTGCAGACTGATGCGCCCCAGAGGGGTGTGGGACTGGGGCCAGAGTCAGAATCGCACCTGATAGGGAGCATTTCTCCATCCCCTGGTCTTTTAGGGAGTGGGAACAGACCTGGGGAACCAAGGCTCACCACGCTATTGGAGTGCTGAGAATTCTGGCTTTCTCTGAAAGCAAGTGTCTTGGGGCTCGATGAATACATTAGCCTCACTTCTGACATTGAACTTGACACATTAGGGGTTAGGAATCAAACTTCTCCTCTAGCTAAGCTAATAGACTCTCCTGACACTGGAAGGGCCATACCAGTCTGTCTTTAGCAAAGTCTATTCCCAAAGTCTAGCCTGCATGAGAATTACCTGGAGGGCTCGGTAAACATAGACTGCTGAGCCTACTCCTGAGAGGCTCTGACTCAGTAGGTCTGGAGTGAAGCTGAGAACTTGCATTTCTAACAAGCTCCCAGGGGATGTTGATGCCTCGGGTCTGTAGTTTGGGAGTGCAGATGGGAGTCATCCTTTGTCCGCCTCGTCTTTTAGGAACAGAGTTGTCATTGTAAACGTTAGTTGTGCCTCCACTCATCCATGGACCTTCAAAAGGATTTGTGAGTGCAGCATAAGCAGTCGTAATAGTTGGGTGCATGATTGCTGACACAGTTATCAGCTGCCCACAGCCATCATCCAAGGCTAAGAGAGAGGGTCAGGCCTGAAGCTGTCCGGACGAAAGGAGAGGGAAGGGGTCTAAGTCCAGCCCCTCTTCCCAGAGGACAAAAAGGGGACCACAATCCCCATCTTAGATGAGCCAGTGACCCATCATCAGCCTTTCTTTTGATGCTCTGTGATGCCAAAGTCATTTTGCCCACACAAAAATGCAGCGTGAGGCCAGGCATGGTGGCTCACGCCTGTAATCCCAACACTTTGGGAGGCTGAGGCAGGTGGATCACCTGAGGTCAGGAGTTCGAGACCAGCCTTGGCCAACATGGTGAAACCTCATCTCTAAAAATACAAAAACTAGGTGATGCACACCTGTAGTCCTAGCTACTTGGGAGGCTGAGGCAGGAGAATCTCTTGAACCTGGGAAGCGGAGGTTGCAGTGAGATGGAGCCACTGCACTCCAGCTTGGGCAACAGAGTGAGACTCTCTCAAAAAAAAAAAAAAAAAAAAATGCAGCTTGTCCCCAGAGGTGTTTCTCAACTGTCTTCTGATTGACTCCCCCAGGGCACATGGTGTTGAATGGGCTACCTTTCCGGGCGCCCCAGAGCTCCTCCTCCCCTGCCATAACTCCCATCCTGCACAGGAGGTCGGGAGCCCACGCCATTCTATTTAGGCGTTGTGCATTCTCAGTAGAGCCCTGGGGGAAGCCCCTCTGTCTTCCCCCCTCCCACCAGGCTCCCTCCATGTCTGATGCTGCCCCTCCTTTCCCCTCAGTGTTCCATGCCTTCCTGCGTCACGGCATTCCATGTCACATGCGCCTTTGACCACAGCCTGGAAATGCGGACTATATTAGCAGACAATGATGAGGTCAAGTTCAAGTCATTCTGCCAGGAACACAGTGATGGGGGCCCACGTAATGAGCCCACATCTGAGCCTGCAGAGCCCAGCCAGGCTGGCGAGGACCTGGAAAAGGTGACCCTGCGCAAGCAGCGGCTGCAGCAGCTAGAGGAGGACTTCTATGAGCTGGTGGAACCTGCTGAGGTGGCTGAGCGGCTGGACCTGGCTGAGGCGCTGGTCGACTTCATCTACCAGTACTGGAAGCTGAAGAGGAAAGCCAATGCCAACCAGCCGCTGCTGACCCCCAAGACTGACGAGGTGGACAACCTGGCCCAGCAGGAGCAGGACGTCCTCTACCGCCGCCTGAAGCTCTTCACCCATCTGCGGCAGGACCTAGAGAGGGTGAGTCCCCATGCTGCCTGCCCACCCACCTGCCTGGTGGGTCCAGGAGTCCTTTCCATGCCACAGTCACTGCCCTGGAGCAGCCAGGACTCCCCAGGACTCAAACTGTGAGCTCTGGTGGACCGGCCCTGTGCAGGAGCCTGCCAAGTGGCTGAGGGCTTTCAGGTCCCAAAGAGTATGGGGGTAACTGGCACTTTACAGAACAGAGAAGAGTCCAGTTCTTGAGTCTCTGAGTCCCTCTTATGCCAGCCCTATCACAGGCCTGGTGAATGGTGCGGGCCCTGCCAAGGTCAGGAGGCTGGGAGCACCAGAGCTAGGGCAAGGACCCAGGCTTCTGGCACTTGCTTGCCTCTGTGGGCCCTGCCTGGTCCTAACACATGAGCTTGCGTTGAGAATCTGAGGTAGAGGAGGAACTGGGGCTTCCCAAGCTGTCCCCGTAACCCATGCTGAAAGCCAGGAGCATCAAGAGCCAGGAGCAGCCAAACAGGCACGTGCCAGGCCAGGGCAGGGTAGATGGGTAAACGCGGCTCCGTGGGGTGCTGGGCAAAGAGAACAGAGGCACGAAGGAGACAGGGTGGACTCAAGGAACGGTGGAGTGGAAGGAGGAGGTGAAAGGGGCTGGTGGATCACACGAGGCTGGGCTGGTGGATCACAGTGTGTCTGGAAGCTGCAGAAGTGCTAAGGAGGGACTGACACATTGAGGCTGGGACTTCCACCCATCACTCCCTGGAGGAGAAGTCCAAGGAACGGGTGGGCTGGCTGAAAACCGCCCCCAGCTGTGTGCTGGGGAACAGATGATGGTGGCTTGGTCCAGGGGGCTGAGTGAAATGAAGCAGGATTTCTGGATCCTTGTCCAGTCCTCTGAACCCCACAAGCTGTTCTGGCCTCTCCTCTCTGGGACATTTCTAGGGTTCCAGAGCATATGGGACCATGTCACAGTGTCTCCCCTGGGTTCAGACACACATGGTCGCCCTCTCCCTGGGTCCTGTCAGGAAACAGCTCTGGGCAGGAGCACGCAGGGAGCTTTGTGTGACCGGAAGCAGCTGCTTTTCTTATCTGCATCGCAGTAGGCAAGGCTGTAAAATGGGTAGAACATCTCCGGGGGTGTTGTACTGTCAGGGAAGGGGCACTGGATCCAACTTCCTCACTCCTCTCCTTCCTCCTCATCTGCCCTGGAGTCTGCTCAAGAGGGAGATGACCTATTGGCCCCGGAGTGCACTCACTGCCTGGCAGCCAGCTTGCCACCAGGCCAGAAGGAAGAGGTGGGGGTGGGAGGAACCAGATGTCCCTGGCTCTAGCCAGGACAGAGGGCAAGGCCATCTACATTGCAGCCACCACCTCCTGGCCAGCCCAGCCTCCTGTCACATGTGGCAGGGGCATCAGGTGTAAGACCTTCTGAGACCGAAGCTGCTTCAGGCTACCATGTCTCCACCTGCTGGATCTCCAGCAGAAACACCTGCTTTTACTCCTACTGTTTCCCAAACATCCCCTCAGAACTGACCTCCCTGTTCTGTGCTGGTCAGCCCCCGTGTCTGTTCCTGGCTGGGTTGTCCAGGGAGGTCAAGGGCTGACTCACTTATGTAGTCATCATCCTGGAAAAAGAGACTTGAGGAAGATCCTCCCAGCTTTGCTGAGCAGATGAGGAAACGGGCTCGGAGAGACGAATAACAGGAAGCCTTAGAGGAACTCCATCCCAGGGGTTTTGAGCTTGAATTTGGACCTCAGTCAGGGGCAGAAAAGGAGTTGTTGGCTTATTCTCTATTCTGTAAATTTCCTGGGCAAAAGCTTCCCCTTATCAGCCCCCTAATCTTCCCACCCCAGTCTCGGCTGGTTCAGGTGGGGCCTGGGGCTGAGGTTGGCAGGCTCTGGGGTTCCAGAAAATGAGAGCTGCTGCACAGACCCCTCCAGTGGGGGCCACAGCACTCCAGAGTAGTCAGGTGTGAACCATCCCACTCCTCCTCTGGGAAGAGGAAGCAGGGCCAATTTTGAAGTATGTGCAGCCTCTTATGGCTCAGGGGACCCTGTCAAATGCTGCTTCTTGAGCAGCCACCAAGCTGGACTGGCAGGCACCAGCTTCGATGAGGGCAGGGGCATGCACAGCCCTGGCAGGGCCGAGGAGGGACAACCATGAGCCAAGCTGACCCCCATCGGCGGCCCAGCCTCAAGGCCTCTCCAAGTCACACATTTGCAACTTGGGTGAATGAACAGCGACAGGAACCCTGCCACGGGGGAGGCTTTCTGCAAAGGCCCGTGGTGGTTGGTGGCCTGGCCAGCAGGCCCAGTCTCGGACCAAGGCCCAGTGCAGCGCCGGGAGTACCCAGCCTGTAACTGAGCACTATGCCAGCCTGGGCGGGAATCATCGGAAGATAGGGCAGGGCTTGAGGTCGAGGCCTTGGTAGCCTGACTTTGCATCCAGTTCCTGCACTCCCAGCTCTGTGCCTTCTTAGTTTCGGTTTCTACTTCTCTGAGTTTCAGTTTCTTTGTCTGTAAAATGGGAATAAGGATCAGACTGACCTTGGTGTCACAGTGCGTGTGGGGGACAGAGCTTAGCACAGTGCCCTCCATTGTTGGCCGTGATTGTTGCTACTGTCCTGGCCCCTCAGCATTTGGCTCTTAGAAGAAGGGAGGCCAGCCCATGCGCTCTGAGGGTGGGCTCCACAGAGGACCCACAGGGCAGGCCCAGTGCTAGGGCCTGGGAACCCAGCATCCTCCCAGATCGATTCGTTGCTCCTCAGCCAGGCAGGGGTTTTGCTGAGAGAAACGGGAGCTGGGGCTGCGGCCAGCATGAAATCCCATTTTATGGTCAACCAGATGTGCTTTCCTAAAATTTCAGCGTTGGGCCTTGGCCCCAGTGGACGCTCGGAAGGCATGGCCACTGCAGCCTCCTAGAGTTATTTACGGCTGACAAAAAAAAAAAAAAAAAAAATTGCAGCACTGTTGATCAGCCCGACAAGTGCCGGCTGGTGTCCCCTAGCAACCACGCTGACAAGCAGGCTGTGCAGGGACTTGGTGCTTGTAGCTCTGGCTCTGGTCACCAGGAGTTTATTTGGGAGCCTGACCTGGCCTGAGGAGGAGGCTGAGAGGGTGGAGGCAGCTCTAAGACACACACCTGCCCAGAGGATGACATGGGACAACTTCCCAAGGAGGGAAAGACTCAGCAGGAAGTGGGTCCTGGCCTCAGTGCCTGGATGGTGGCCCGCTTGGCCTCCCACCAAAGCCATCCTTGTCCTGGGCAGCTCCAGCCTCCAGACATCTGGCTCTTCTGCCCCTGTGCCTCCCATCTCCAGAGCTCCCCCAACCCATTAGTGCCCCTGCCTCACCCAAGCCCAGTCACCACCTCCAGCTGTTCCCAGGTCAGTAACCCAAAAATCGCCACTTCCTCCTCCCTGCCCTCAGTCTCCTGCTCTCCCTGCTCACTTGTCTCCCAGGCCCTCCACCTTTCTCTGTCCTGCTTTCTTCACTCACTCCCTGTTTGGCACTGGCCTGCTATGCCCCAACCCTTGTCCCTCGCTGAGGCCAGACCCCTGGCAGAGCCTCACCCACTGAGAGCCACTCCCTCCATGAGGAGAAATTCCACAGCGCTGAGCAGGGCAATCCCTGCCACACACCCCACCTCATCCCTGCTGCCCACGTGCTGGGCCCTGCCTCCCTCAGGACAGCCTCCCCTCTGTCCTCACACCAGGGCCTCTAACTTCTGCCAGCCCAGACTCTCGGTCCATTCTCTTCCCTTCCCTCCTGTCTTCCTTCCCCCACAGGGGTCTTTTTTCTGGCCCACACCTGCAGCTCACAAGTCTGTCTTTTCTTCTTCCTTTCTGTGGGTCCTTTTCCACCAACATTTGAATCTGTTCAACCCTCTCTCATCTTCAAAAGCGAATCCTCCCTCCCTATTTCCCTCTAGTCGTGGGTTCCTCTGCTTCCACCCCCATCTCTCCTTTCCTGTCGTCCCTCATGGTATTTGCATCCTTGCTGCCCACTCTGGCCGGATTTCCGCCACATCCCGGAGCCTGCCACCTGGGCCGCCTGCAGCCTCCCCCGCCTACCTCTGCATCCCCCGACCCTCTCAGCAGTGGCTGCCACAATCAGACCTGTCCTTAGTCTTGGAGTCCTTTTCCTGTGATGCTCTGACCAGGTCCCTACTGAGGTCCTGGTTTATCCCCTCCCTCCCTGGCCGCTCCTTGGCCTCAATGGTCATCCACCGCTCTCCCCTGACTGTTCACTCCGAGGGCTGGAGGCCTCAGGCTCCACTGTCTTTCACGGCTGCCCACAGTTTTGCCCCACGTGGGGGTGCTGGCTGCCCCTCCCTCTTGAGCTCCACACGAAGTCCCTTCTAAAGGCTGCCAGCGTCTCATGCCCAGCGTCCCTGTTAGTTTCCTAGGCCTGCCTGCCTGCCACCAGCTGGATGGTGAGATTCATCCTCACGGTTCTGGAGGATGGAAGCCCAAGGTTGAGGTGTCAGCAGGATTAGTTCCTGCCCTGCGGGAGAGTCTCTTCGTGCCTCCCAGCTTCTGGTGGTTGCCAGGAATCTTTGCTGTTCCTTGGTCTGCGGACATCTGTCTAGCCTCTGCCTCTGCCAGGTCACATGGCCTTCTCCCTATAGGCCCCTGTGTCAGGACTCCACTCATAGTAGATCAAGGGCCCACCCTAATATAGTATGATATCATCTTAACTATTTATATCTACAGAGACCCTATTTCCAAATAAGGTCACGTAGTGAGGGTCCCAGTAAAAATGAATTTGGGGGAACACTATTCAATCCCGTACAGAAGCCACTGCAGGTGGGAGAAGGGAAGAAGGGAGAAGGGAAGTGTCTCACCACTCTGTGAAAATCCACCCCTGGGCCGAGCTCGGTGGCTCACGCCTGTAATCCCAGCACTTTGGGAGTCCAAGGCGGGCGGATCAGGAGGTCAGGAGTTCGAGACCAGCCTGGCCAACATGGTGAAACCTCATCTCTACTAAAAATACAAAAATTAGCCAGGTGTGGTGGCAGACGCCTGTAATCTACACGGGAGGCGGAGGCAGGAGAATCACTTGAACCTGGGAGGCAGAGTTTGCAGTGAGCCGAGATCGTGCCACTGCACTCCAGCCTAAGCGACAGAGCGAGACCCTGTCTCAAAAGAACAAAAAGAAAATCCAGGCCGGGCGCGGTGGCTCAAGCTTGTAATCCCAGCACTTTGGGAGGCTGAGACGGGCGAATCACGAGGTCAGGAGATCGAGACCATCCTGGCTTACATGGTGAAACCCCATCTCTACTAAAAAATACAAAAAACTAGCTGGGCGTGGTGGCAGGTGCCTGTAATTCCAGCTACTCAGGAGGCTGAGGCAGGAGAATGGCGTGAACCCGGGAGGCGGAGCTTGCAGTGAGCTGAGATCCGGCCATTGCACTCCAGCCTGGGCGACACAGCGAGACTCCGTCTCAAAAAAAAAAAAAGAAAATCCAGCCTTGGCTTCTTTTGGCCTGGCTCAGTGAAGCCTCAGCGCCTGCCCTCCTCCCTTGCCAGCCCCACCACTCCTCACTGCTCCCTTCAGACTCTTGCCATGAGGCTCTGCTCTGCCTCCCCCCAGCCTGGATTCCTCGTTCCCAGGCTCTGCCCCCGCCGTGTGATCAACTCCCACTCCCACTGGCTGCTGGTATGTCCAAGACGCCTTGCTCAGCACCCCCAAGTGTGGGTCGGAGCCACCTGGTCCTGTCAGTAGTTGGTCAGCACCTACCTACCCTGAGAAGAAAGGGGCCCCCGCGGCGTTGCTCGCTTGAGTCCAGGGCCCCACACAGTGCAAGTCCACAGAGCTATAGCCAGTGCTTAAGGGTATGGGGGAAGGAGGCTGGTTGGAGGGTGGTTTTAGGAGGTCCAGGTTTTGACAGGAAGGTGGGCCATCCCGGTAGGCTAGAGCCGGGGCTCACAGGCTGGATCCAGGTGGTTGCAGCCCAGGGTGGCCCCCTGGAGTGGTACTGGCCATAGGGATAGGTGGAGCTGAGGCTCAGGGGTGGATGGCCTGGTGCTCACGGTCTGAGCTGAGGGCGCGCACACCAGCGTGGAAGGCCACGGAGAGTCCATGCAGAGCGCATCGGGTGGAGGCCTGAGGCTGGAGCCACCTTTGTGGTATATCCTTCACGGCCGGGCTCAGGAAAGAAAGGAGGATCCCCATACCCAGAAGAGAGGTCTGATCTTGGCTGCCCTCGGACTGGGAGAAATGATGGTTATGCCAACAGGCAGGGGGTCTGGAACCAGAGGTCACCCTAGCTTAAGGACATGAAGACTGAACTCAGCCTTGAAGATGGAACCCAACGAGAAACAGCCTGGTCCCAGCTGGAAAGACCCTGGTGGGACCCAGAATTCAAGCTGAGCAGCTTTGGCCAACTGTCCCTGATAATGGAGTCTCCATCCTGTGCTGAAGAGCAAGGAAGTGTCTCAAGGAAGAGGGCTTGGTCTTGGCTCCGGAAGTGTGGCCTGCCCTGAGAGCAGCCAGGGAGGGATGGCCCACTAGGGTAAGGTGCCAGGTGGGCAGGCAGCAGCATGGGCCATCCTGCAGGTGCTTCCTGTGGGACCACCTATAGGAGGGGTCCATGTCCCATGAGCTTAGAAGCTGGTGTCTAAGGCCCCAGGGGGCTCTTCTCAGCTGGCCTTGAGGCAGTCAGAGAGGCCTCTGCCCTCTCTGCTGAGGAGTTCTGTCACTGGCAGTGTGAAGGTGGCTGTGTGGATGTGGAAGCCTTGGCCAGCATGGCATGAGCCTGGCTCAGGTCCCAGTGCAGCAGGTAGACATGGGTTGGCTGCAGGCTGGGCACAGTTGGGTTAGGACTTCCTTTCTGCTCAAAGCTATTCTGCTGGCGTTCTCTCGGGCTGCAAGTACCAGGGCCATTTGTGGCTCAGGACACATGTTAGTTTTTGCCATGCTGTTTGTGTCTGAAGAATTTCTTTACTGGGAAAGAAAGGCCTTGGACAGGAGGCAGAGGGATGAAGTTGGTGACCTGGTGAGACCCTGATGAGTCTGCGGGCACTGTGGTTATAGAGGAGAGCAACCATGTTGGCAGGGCCTTGGGAGGCAGCGTGGCTGACCTTACCAGGAAGGTAAGACTCCGAGGAGGAAGGTGGGCATGCTGGGCTGATCTAACCAGATGCCCTCCCCTGGCCGCTCTGGCTCAGCCAGGGACCACAGGGCCGAGGCTATGTGTGGCCTTAGGTTTTGTGTCCGAGACATGCAGCACAGGGCTGAGGATGCGCTCAGGGTCTGGAAATTGGTTTGCAGATGTTCTGGGCAGGATAGGCTATGGTGGTAACCTGTGCCCCTGGCACTGCCTCTACCCATAGCAAGGTCCCCAGAGCTGGGAGGTCTGGGGTGGTTGCCTGTGAGTAAGGTGGAAAATCTCTCTTGTTTTCTCAGGTTAGAAATCTGTGCTACATGGTGACAAGGCGCGAGAGAACGAAACACGCCATCTGCAAACTCCAGGAGCAGATATTCCACCTGCAGATGAAACTTATTGAACAGGATCTGTGTCGAGGTAGGCGCCTTCCCCACCTGCCGCCGCCACCTCCGTGTGCCCTCTCTTGCGGGGCTGGGTCCCAAGGAGGGTGTGTCTTTGGACCCTGGTGGGGTATCTTCGTGGAGCCAGGGGCCACTGGCCCCCCACCCCTACCCTTCACCATCCAATTAGTAGGCCCAGACGGGGGCCTGCCAGGGTCCTGGGTTGTGTGTCACTAGGCAAAGAGCCAGAGGTTGGAATGTGGGCATCAGGCCTGCCCTCAGGGAGCTTTCTGGTTGACTAGGCCACAGCAGTTCAGGAGCTGATTGCATGTGAACAGGTACAGAGAAGAAGGCCTAGTGGCTCTCTGCTGGTGCTGAGGCAGGAAGGGCCAGAAGCTGGTGAGCTTCCCTGAACCCTGGTGTGCCTGGGAGTCAGTTTCGAAGAAGGCAACTGCCCCAGAGATGTGATAGGACCTGGCTATTGTTTCTGTCTGACCCTAACAGGATTCTTGCACTGCATCTGCAGTGTTTTCCGCTGTTTTATTCTTGTTCTTCGTATTCTCTTGGCGTCACATGTGTTTAATGGGTCTGGCAATCAAAAGGCTGAAGGAAGCTCTGACATTGATCTTATCTGTTAATTGTGGATATTGCCAGACACAGGACCCTTCCTGGAGCGTATACATGTTAAGAAGGGCAACACTTAGCCCCCAAAGCGGTACCCCAGTGTTTGGTTTACATGCAGCAGAAATAGCTGGGTGGAGAGAGACTTTGAGCCTGGGTCTGCCAATGCCACTTCAGCCTCGGAGCTGAGCTGGGCCTGGAGTGGAGAGGAGGGAGGAAAGCTGCTGAGCCACCATTGGAACAAATGACTAAGGACCTCTGCTGCCCCTACTTCTGCCTGAGAGCTGAGCTGACCTGATTGTGCTTTGGCATCACCATCCACTCTGGCCCCAACATCTAGCCTTGCCAAGTTCAGGTGCTAGTCGTGGCCATGCAGAGCTCACCATGTACCCAAAGACTGTGGCAGCTTCCTGGCTGCTGGAGCTTTCCAGGCCCCCTGTCTTCTGTTTATTCATTCAGCCAGCATTAGCTGAGCATGGATTGGATAGGGTTCCCGCCCTTGTGGAACACACCATCTGGAGAGAGAAAGGAACGTGGTATCGCAGAGGCTACAGTTGCTGCCAGTGCAGGGATAGAAGTATCAGGGATGTCTTCCCAGAAGCAGTGATGCTCCGACAACATCTCAGGCCTCCTAGCACTTGGCTGTGGCCACATATCGGCTGCAGAAGGAGAAGCCCATGCAAGGCACCCACAGTTGAGGAAGCAGAGGGTGGCAAGCCACGAGCAGTGCCCTCAGGCACAGGATTCCAGAAGCATGGTCAAGAGCCTGGAGGGTTCACATCCCTGCATTGGTTCTGGGGGCATTTGCAACTCCTTGTCTTGAGTGTCAACAACAGGCAGCTGTTTGTTCAGGGCAGGGCGGGGCATTTGGAGACGACTGGTTTGCCCTGTCCAAAGCTGCTGCTCACACTGTTGTGAGGCTTGACACTTGGGATGGGTCATGGGCTGTGTGCATATTGGTGAGGCTGTCTGACTTGGCGGCTAGAAAAGGCCTCCTAGTGGAGATGATATTTGGGCTGTGAGCTGAATCAGATGAAAGATAGGACAAGAAAACAACGTATTTGGAGACTTAGTGGCCATAGCATGTCTTGGCAGAGAAACTGGAAGGAGGCTGGAATGGCTGCACCGGGCAGAAGGAAGACACCTAAAGTAGGGGTGATGGGTAACCAGGGTCACATGTGCAAGATCTTCTTGTAACCTGGGGCAGGAGCTTACACTGTCCTGAGAGCAGTGGGGAGCCTCTCCAGGAGCCTGCCTCCAGAGTGTCTAGGCATTGGTTACATGCCATGTTACAGATGAGATTGCCCAGGCCTGGTGGCTCATGCCTAAAATCCCAGCACTTTGGGAGTCCACAGTGGGAAAATCACTTGAAGGCAGGCGTTCCAGACCAACCTGTCTGTACAAAAAAAAATTACAAAAATTAGCTGAGCATGGTGACACATGCCTGTATTCCTAGCTGCTTGGGGGAGCAGAAGTAGGAGGATTGCTTGAGCCCAGTAGTTTGAGGCTGCAAGCGAGCTATGATTACACCACTGCACTCCAGCCTGGGTAACAGAGCCAGGCTCTGTCTCTAAAAAATAAATAAATAAACAGATGTGGCCAGGCACAGTGGCTCACACCTGTAATCCCAGCACTTTGGGAGGCCAAGGTGGAAGGATTACTGGAGCCCAAGAGTTCAAGACCAGTCCGGGCAACATAGTAAGATCCTGTCTCTACAAAATTTGAAAATTAGCCAGGTGTGGTGGCGTGCACCTGTGGTCCCAGCTACTCAGGAGTCTGAGGGTAAAGGATCACTTGAGCCTGGGAGGTCAAGTCTGCAGTAAACTATGATTGTACTACTGCGCTCCATCATGGGCAACAGAGCAAGACTCTGTCTCAAAACAAACCAAAATCGATGAGACTGAGGCCTGGCCTGAACTGAAAGGATACAGGAGCCAGGGGTGCACCCTGAATCTCCCATCCAGTTCACTGCCTGACTTTGAAAGCCAACCAAGAGACCAACGCAGGAGACTGGTTCAGGGGAGCTGACCCTGGGGTTCGGAATGGACCCCAAGCCTCTCGACCCCTCAGATAGTGTTCCTTCCACTGACATGTCTAGCTCCTCAGTCTGGCATTCAAGGCCCTGACCCGTCCAGACTCCTCTCCAGCCATTCTTCCCACCACCCACACTCTCTCCCAAGGCTGCAGGTTGTGCGGGTCAGACTAGAGTCCACGTCCTGCAAGGGCCTCTCCTTGTGGCCCTGTGGCCACCCCAAGTCCCCCACAGGGCACAGTGGACAATTGGCTCACCCCACCACGCCAGCCGTCCCCTGGCTCCAACCTTTTTGCTGTGGAGGGTGAGCACTGACTGATGGAGGACTCCTGGGCTGCCACGCAGGGATCTTGGTGCTGACTGAGGCCACTCAGGGTAACCATATCCCTCCTCCTTTTGCTTTCCCTGACACAGAGCGGTCTGGGAGGAGAGCAAAGGGCAAGAAGAGTGACTCGAAGAGGAAGGGCTGCGAGGGCTCCAAGGGCAGCACTGAGAAGAAAGAGAAAGTGAAGGCGGGGCCTGACTCAGTCCTGGGGCAGCTGGGTGAGTGAGGGCCATGCTGGCCTGCAGACACGGGCAGGCTTGACCATCACCACACTTGCAGCTCTGCCCTGCAGAAGGCCAGCTGCACAGAATAGGAGACTGAGGCTCAAGAGCGGTAACCAGGCCCTTGCTTGCCCAGGTGCACACACCTTCCACCCACAAAGGAGACAGATCTCAGAGCCCCGTGTGACATCCTGGAAAATGCCCCTTATGTAGACCTGGATGGAGGCTGGGCCACGCCCATTCAGGAACTGTCCAGTCATTTCCCTGACTGGATCCTGGTGGCTGGATTTTCCCAGAGTCCCCCAGGACAGCCCCCATGCTGGGAGGGGCGGATCTACCAGAAAGCCCCATCCTTGTCTTACTCTACCAGAATCCTCTAAATAGGCCCTTCCTGTAACAGCAGCAGACTTTCCTGGAGCTACCCAGAGATACCCAGAGGAGTGGCTGCAGGCCCTGGCCCTGCCCATCACCTCCACTGTCCCAGGCCTCCTGTTAGGCAGAGCAGCCTAATGGGAGCAGTGTGACTCATGGACCTCACGTGCTTCCTCCAGAGATCTCGGGGAGCATCATGGAGCCCCCTTCCAGACCTTGCCTCTGGGACAGAGGCCCCAGGTCATCCTTTCTGTCCCTCTGTCTCAACAAGGGGACAACCCAGGCATGGTGGTGCATGCCTGTATTCCCAGTTCTCAGGAGGCTGAGTTGGGAGGATCACTTGATCCCATGAGGCTGAGGCTGCAGTGCACCATGATCATGCTACTGCACTCCAGCCTGGGTGACAGAGCAAGACCATGTTCCTTCATTTCACACCCCTCCCGCAAAAAGAAGGGGATAACTTGGGTGTGTAACAGGAAACACAGTCTCACGTCTCACCAGCTGTCCCTTCCCAAGACCTCGGTAAGGAAGGAAGGATCTGCCTCCCTCACATCTGCTGGCATCTCACTTGCCTCCTCTCTCCCCTGACATCCAGGAGGGACTGGATACTGCTTGCTACCCCTATTCGCACCTGATCCCTTTATCCAAACTCTTTGCTGCAAGCTCTGGGAGGCAATGCTTATAAAGACCGAGTGCCCTCTGGTGGCCTGAGGGCATTTTCCTCAAGATTCCTCCTTCCCCAACCCCGCCAGAGTGGGGGTGGTGGGCAGGGCCAACTTCGTGGGTAGCAACCTATGCCGTTGCACAGGGTCCTTGATCTTGGTTTAATGCTCTGCTGCTGCCACCTTGAATTTTTTTCCCCATGGCAGGCTTTCTGGTAAAATCCAAAAAACCTGCTAGACAGACTAAAAGAGCTATAACACTCCACCTTGAAATTCTTAATAATATTTGAACAAGGAGCCTGTATTTTCATTTTATACTCCATCCCACAAATTATGAAGCCCATCTTGAGGGCAGCACGTCCTTCTGGAGAGAAGGGTATAAGTAGTCCCAACTCTTTGGTGGTGTTGGCAGGAGGGATGGACAAAGGTAGCTCACCTGGGTCTGGCACAGGGGGGCAGAGAGAAGAAGATGCATGGTGGTGTGCTGGGAGCGTCAGCGGGCTTCCTGAAAGGGTGGGACACGCGTCTGCTGGCATCTCACTTGCCTCCTCTCTCCCCTCAGCAGGCCTGTCCACCTCATTCCCCATCGATGGCACCTTCTTCAACAGCTGGCTGGCACAGTCAGTGCAGATCACAGCAGAGAACATGGCCATGAGCGAGTGGCCGCTGAACAATGGGCATCGCGAGGACCCTGCTCCGGGGCTGCTGTCAGAGGAGCTGCTGCAGGATGAGGAGACACTGCTCAGCTTCATGCGGGACCCCTCACTGCGACCTGGCGACCCTGCTAGGAAGGCCCGAGGCCGCACCCGCCTGCCTGCCAAGAAGAAACCACCACCACCGCCGCCGCAGGACGGGCCTGGTTCACGGACGACTCCAGACAAAGCCCCCAAGAAGACCTGGGGCCAGGATGCAGGCAGCGGCAAGGGGGGTCAAGGGCCACCTACCAGGAAGCCACCACGTCGGACGTCTTCTCACTTGCCATCCAGCCCTACAGCCGGGGACTGTCCCATCCTAGCCACCCCTGAAAGCCCCCCACCACTGGCCCCTGAGACCCCGGACGAGGCAGCCTCAGTAGCTGCTGACTCAGATGTCCAAGTGCCTGGCCCTGCAGCGAGCCCTAAGCCTTTGGGCCGGCTCCGGCCGCCCCGCGAGAGCAAGGTAACCCGGAGATTGCCGGGTGCCAGGCCTGATGCTGGAATGGGACCACCTTCAGCTGTGGCTGAGAGGCCCAAGGTCAGCCTGCATTTTGACACTGAGACTGATGGCTACTTCTCTGATGGGGAGATGAGCGACTCAGATGTAGAGGCCGAGGACGGTGGGGTGCAGCGGGGTCCCCGGGAGGCAGGGGCAGAGGAGGTGGTCCGCATGGGAGTACTGGCCTCCTAACTCACCCCCTTCCCTGTCCCGGGCCCTGCCCTGGTCCCCCAACAAGGCCTCAGCCCAGTCACAACTGCCATTTCCAGTCTCTGCCGAGTGTCCCAGACCCTCGAGGCTGCCACTCCGTCGTGGTTTTATTTTTAATATAGAGAGAGTTTTGAATTCTACACTGTTGTCTTTCCTCTGTGCTGGTCTAGGATGTTAGGATTCCTTCCACGGCTCCGGCCACCAGGACCCTGCCAGGTCCCGTGCACCATCCCTGCCCTGCCCACGTGGTATTGCTGGGCCCCTGGCTAGAAGTGGGCAAGGTGGAGAAGAGCTCAGGACTCCAGCCCGCTGCCACTGGGTGACACAGACTGTCGTTTGGGCATTATTTCATGGCAGTTGGGCTGGTCCAGGGCCTACCCCGCCTTGCCCCCAGATTCCACTGGGGTCCATTTGGGGGGTCCTGCTGCACTCCACCGATCCCCAAGGAAGTATAATAAACAATACCCAGCCAGAGTCTACTCACTGTCACAAGCACAACGAGTTTATATGAGAAAGCACTGAGGGGGTGCAGAGGGCCCGCTGGTTCCAGGGGAACTGAAAGCTGTTCCTGATCAGCCCGTATCATCTGAGGCCTGCCTGCCCACCCTGCCACCCTCCCCTCCCTTGCTGCTCTGCCCCTGCCAGTGCCCAGCCCAGCGGCTCTGGGAAGGGGTTCCCAGAATCCCTCCTGAGCTGTGCCATTTACTCAGGGGACTCCCAAACAGCCAGCTGCCAGTGCAGGTGGAGGGCTGTAAGGGAGGGCCAGTGCCCAGACAGGGTCATGGGGCTCAGACCAGCCCACTGTAGAGAATCACTCTGGGGCTCCAACTTCCTTCCTTCCTTTGGGGCCAGTCTCGGCCGAAGTCTGGTCACTCAGACAGAGGTGACCAGACTAGACCGCTTGCCTTTTCAAGTTTCCTAGTCCTGCTAAGAGATGAGCTTCTTCCGTGGTTTCCTTTTGGAAACTCCTCCTTCCAACAAGCAGTGGGATCCCGGGGCCCAGGGCGGGCCGGTGTTGGCCGCTGGGGCTGTTGTAAGTCTTGCTGGATGTTCCCCTGTTCCTGAGCCTTAACCCCTTGCCCAGCCATCCCCCGTGTCCTGCCTTTCCCGCCCCCCCCCCTTAGGTCCCAGGTAGTTGCTCTGAAGAGTTTCAGTAGAGTGGCCCCAGGGTGATAGCTCAGGGAACAACAAAAAAGGAATTCCGTGAAAACATTTTTTTTTCTTTGATGAATTACTCCTGGGTCACTTCCGCCACTGGTAAAGCCAGAACTTCTCCAACAAGAACCTTGCAAAAAGTCCAGTGAATCAGTCGAATCATTCTGTGGATGCCAAAGAATATTTTGACCATAATACAGCACAGCCTGGACCTGACAACTTGTCACTTGGACTTTTTTTAAAATGGAGTTCTCTAGCATCAAAGTATAGAAACATGTTCATTGCACACACCCAAGGAGAAGAGCCCAAGCGCTCGGAAGAGGATGCTTTTCTGCTGCTGAAGTGTACCTGGGTGTTAGATTTCAGATCCTGGGCTGAGCCCACTGTGAGCTTTCCTAAACTCTGAGAGTCACAGAGGGGAAAGATACTGACAGTGAAACCAGCATGGAAAATGTCTTTACCATGTGGTTCCCTCCTCCCCAAATACATAAAGCAAATAAGCAGGATGGGGAACAGCTTGACCTTCATCCACCCCTAACTCCAAAACTATCAAGGTACGACAGTGGCATTGTCATCGACACTCAGTTTCATGTGAATTTTAGCAAAACAGGAAACAAAGATAATGACTCAGTTCAGAGGATCGGACAAATGTGTCTAGTCCGGGTGGACTTGGAGGGAGTGGGGTGGGCTTCAAGGATTCTGGGCGTTGGGATGGCATGAGCTAGCCCGTAGAGTTTAGTCTGCCTGCCCGCCTTGGTAGTAGTGACCAGTCAGTGTCAGCATCAGTGTCTCAACCCCAGTCTCTGTTTACTGCCTTTGAACAGAACTTCTTCCTTCCCCATGCTTTGGGTCACCTCGGGCTGCAACCCTGTCTGTGCCAGATGGCCCAGTCTGACCCTGCAGGAAGCAAAGAGGTGAGCTTAAAGAACAACCAAACTGCCAGGGGTCCCGGAAAGCCCAGGGCCTAGCAGTCTCCGCACTTGGCCCCTTGCCCGTTCACACCATCCTGGGGCAGGGACTGGGCCTCCCTGGTGGCAGGGGTGGGCGGAGAATTAGGGAGAGGGTGCAACGAGTCTGGCCCCTTGCCTCGGGGTGGCTGGTGTTCTTCCAAGAGCCTCTGCTCATGTTGTTGGCCTCTGGATTCTGTTCCTTCTTCATTGGCTATTGCTTTGGACTGGACTGTCGCTGAGCCTGTGTCCTGCAGAACCCAGATGTCTGTTAGGCTGGCTGGCTGCTGCGAGGGGATGAGGGTGGCCTTTCACTTGGGGAGCCCTTTCACTCCCAGGCCAAGCCCTGGAGCAGTCTTCTCCAGGTAGCTGTCTCCACCTCCAGGATGTCCACCAGGCTGCAAGGAGAAGGATGCCAGCCACCCATCCTCCCCGAGTTCCCAGCCTTTCCCCCGTTAGTCACAGCTGCTTCTCTCTTTTTCCGGTCTACTGTCCCCAGTGTAGAGGGCTTTGCTGCCCCTGAGACCAAGCAAGGCAGGTTCCTTTTCCAGGCCAGAGGCGGAGGTGGATCTTTCTCTTGACCACGTCTCCCCACTCGCACTGCTCCTCCACAGGGAGGGAGAAGCTGCTCTGTAACTCATTCTGGCTATCCTCCCCCTTCTTACTGACCTGATCGCCCACCACCTCCTTCCCCCTCATCATGTGACAAAGGATAATGTGCAAGAAAAGTATTTTTATGTATCATAAATGTATTTTGAGACAAATGAGAAGAAGAAAGGTAGAAGGGTTTATTTTATTAAACGAGCCTGACTTTGTGACAGTGTGTGAGCATTTGCAATGTAAGGGCCTCAGCTTCCTTGGAGAAGCCACCCCAGGTTTCCAGACAAAGATGTTGAATTGTTTGTGGGGGGTGTGCCAGGCCACGCCTCGTGTGTCCGCGTGCAGGCATGCCTGTGTGTCCTGTGTATGGGCACACTATGGGACTAGCTGGGACAATTCCTAGAGATTCAACTGCCCAATTCTAACAAACATTGGCAGTGGCTGAACTTGGCATTTCCTTGCTAACTGCCAGATGTGGCCAACCTCTGCCCATGTGCAAACCACTGAAAAATGATCTGGATTTCTGTAGCAAAGCCCTTGGGGAGGGCACTCTCCAATGCTCTTGGCCTCGCTGGCCACATTGGCCAATGAGCCAGGGCTGGAGTCTGAGACCTTTGGTTGTTCTTTAAGGCACCTCCTGCCACTTTCTCCCTCAGAGGCACAAACACTTTGTGTTCCACGTGAGTTTGAGGGGACGGTGGGGGGAATGATATGAATGTCACAGGAGGAGACACCTTCTGTCTTTGTTTCAAAGAAAGTGATGTGCCATTTGTTAATATACAAGAGAAATATTGAAAATATATTGAAAAGAGCAATTTTAAATTATTTTTGGCTTATGTTGCAATATTTATTTTCTTGTATTAGAAAAGATTCCTTTGTAGAGAAAAAATGTATTTTTCATTAACGCAAAGACCTATTTCTCCTTTTTGTACATTGTCCATGTTCGCAACCCTTAACGAGCAATAGAATGTATGGTCACCTGGGTGTGGCCAGTGCCCGCTGTGCCCTGCATGATTCTGTGTTGCCGCTGCTGCATAGTTCCCAGCCCCATCCTGTCCTGCTCACTCATGGGGGCTTCCAGACCCCAGCCCCACCAGGGCTTGTGTCATAGGGAGCCCTTTGCACTCCTCGTGTGTTGGCAAACGCAGTTAATAAAGCAATGTTTTCTGTGCTGGCTGGTGTGAGGCTCCATTGCATTGGATGGGGTAGGGAACCCTGGGAGTCCCACACACACACCTGACAGTGGGCTCAGCAAAACCACAAGATCCCTGAGTTTTCCAAGGGATCTGCTGCCACCTCCTAAGGAATCATAATAAAGATGCTCAGTGCACACCAAGGGCTATAATTTCAGAGCCGTATTTCTATTTTTGATTGTTAGTATTATTTTTTGAGACAGGGTTTCACTCTGTTGCCGAGGCTGGAGTTCAGTCGTGCAATCTTGACTCACTGCAGCCTCGACATCCTGGGCTCAAGTGATCCTCCCACCTCAGCCTCCTGAGTAGCTGGGACTACAGGTGCGTGCCACCATGCCCGGTTGATTTTGGTAATTTTGTAGAGATGGGATTTCGCCACGTTGCCCAGGCTGGTCTCAAATTGCTGGGCCCAAGTGATCCATCCTCCTCGGCCTCCTGAAGTCCTGATACTACAGGCATGAGCCATCGCACCTAGCCTCAGGGCAGTATTTCATTTGATCTTCAATATGTTCCTGTGGAATTGAGAGGATGAGGGATGCACCCAAAGTCAAAGATGTGCTCAGAGGTAAAGCTCCGCATCCAAGGCAGGACTGCTGCATGTCCCACCCGCTACAACCACCTGCCTGGGACCGCAGGAAAGTTTGGGAGGAGCCTCGAGGGAGTGTCCCTAGGTCGGCGAAGATTTTTGCTTGAGTTTGTTTTTTATTCATGATTTTCTGAGTACCTACCCTGAGTCAGGCTCTGAAAAGAGTGCGGGGAATGTAGCTGCTGTCCTTGCTGGGGGTAGCTCACACAGGCAGTGAGGGAGCTGGGAGTTTTCCTAGAGGCCTGGGCTGGTCTAGGGGTAGGAGGGTTCAGGAAGGGTTTCTCTGAGGAAGTGATTCATTCATTCATTTAACAAGTAGTCTTGACCGGACACCTCACTGCCAGTGTGCTGGGTTGCATACTCTGCATGTCACCAGGCCCTTGTCCCCCTAAAACCTCCAGGCAATGCAGACCTAATGAAAAAATTGTTGCTAGCCCAAGGGAAGCTGATGGTCATTCCTCACAGAGGGCTTGGCCTATGCAAAGATGGATCAAGCTATATCAGGGAAGGGTCTTGAACCTTCTCTGAGGGCTCAAAGCAAGGCTGTGTAGGTCAGAGGTTACATTAAAACTCAAAGAATCGGCCGGGCGCGGTGGCTCAAGCCTGTAATCCCAACACTTTGGGAGGCCAAGACGGGCGGATCACGAGGTGAGGAGATCGAGACCATCCTGGCTAACACGGTGAAACCCCGTCTCTACTAAAAAATACAAAAAACTAGCCGGGTGAGGTGGCGGGCGCCTGTAGTCCCAGCTACTCGGGAGGCTGAGGCCGGAGAATGGCGTGAACCCGGGAGGCGGAGCTTGCAGTGAGCTGAGATCCGGCCACTGCACTCCAGCCTGGGCGACAGAGAGAGACTCCGTCTCAAAAAAAAAAAAAAACTCAAAGAATCTTAGCTTCTGGGGCCACTGACTTAGTTGCATGATCCATCTGCCTCGGCCTCCCAAAGTGCTGGGATTACAGGCGTGAGCCACCGCATAGTAGGTTCCTAAGGGTGCCTCCAGATCCAATGTTCTGAGTCCACAATGCACAAGGTATTGGAAGTAAATTTGGGGTGGAGTGTGCGCCCCAAATGCCCATGGAGGGAGGTCTCCTTGTTAGGGATCCCAGGAACCTGGACAAACAGGCTGTGGATGTTCTCTCAGCTCCAGCTCCAGCAGCTCAGCTGTGAATGGGAAGGGCTCAGCGTCCTCAACTGTGGAATCAGCACAGGATGCTGGTAGGAAATCAGCCCTGGGACTGAGGGGGTATCTGGGTGACCAGCCCACCTGGCCATGGGAAGGGACTGTCAGCCCTGTGGCCCAGCTGCCCTGGACTTGGCACCACAGCCTCTCTCTCCTCCTGTAGCCAGCCCAAAGCAGGACCACAGTGATCCAGAAGAATAACTCAGGTTTGCCCCTCACTCTAAAACCACACCTGTGTCGGCTGGGCGAGGTGGCTCATGCCTGTAATCCCAGCACTTTGGGAGGCCAAGGTGGGTGGACCATTTGAGGTCACGAGTTTGAGACTATCCTGGCCAAACTGGTGAAACCTCATCTCTACTAAAAACACAAAAAATTAGCCGGGTGTGGAGATGCATGCCTGTAATCCCAGCTACAGGGACTATAGAGAGGTTGAGGCAGGAGAATCGCTTGAACCCGGGAGGCAGAGGTTGCCGTGAGCCAAGATCGTGCCACTGCACTCCAGCCTAGGAGACAGCGCAAGACTTTGTCTTTAAAAAAAAACAAAAACAAACAAAATAAATAAAATCGCACCTGTGAACCTAACCCAGCTGATTAATGTAGGGCAGGGGGATTCAGGGTACATGTTGGTCTGAGGCAACACTGTTCTTTTTCTTTTTTTTTTTTGAGACAGAGTCTAGCTCTGTTGCCCAGGCTGGAGTGCAGTGGCACAATCTCGGCTCACTGCAACCTCCGCCTCCTGGGTTCAAGCGATTCTCCTGCCTCAGCCTCCCGAGTAGCTGGGACTACAGGCACCCACCACCACACCCAGCTAATTTTTGTAATTTTAGTAGAGACGGGGTTTCACTGTATTGACCAGGCTGGTCTCAAACTCCTGACCTCATGATCCGCCCACCTCGGCCTCCCAAAGTGCTGGGATTACAAGAGTGAGCCACCACGCCTGGCCTGGCAACACTGTTCTTTAGAAATATAGTGCAAGTCACATTTGTAATTCTAGTAGCCACATTTTTAAAAAGTGAAAAACAGGCCCAGGTATAGTGGCTAATGCCTGTAATCCCAGCACTTTGGGAGCCCGAGGCAGGAGGATTGCTTGAGCCCAGGAGTTCGAGACCAGCCTGGGCAACATGGCAAGACCCCATCTCTACAAAAAATTTGTTTTTAATTGGCTGGGCGTGGTGATGCACACTTTTAGTCCTAGGTACTCGGGTGGCTGAGGTGGGAGGATTGTTTGAGGTTGGGAGGTCGAGGCTGCAGTGGGCCGTGATAGCGCCACTACACTACAGCCTGGGCAACAGAGTGAGACCCTGTTTCAAAAAACAAACAAACAAACAAAAACAGATAAAATGAATTTGAATAATTATTTTATTTAACCCATTACATCCAAATGTCTTTAAACATGTAATCAATGTAAAATAACTATTAATGAGAGATTTTGCGTTCTTTTCACAATCCAGGGTGTATTTTATGCTTACGGCACATCTTAATTCAGACTAGCCACATTTCAAGTGCTCAAAGCCACATGTGGCTAGTAGCTACCCTATTGGGCAGCAGAGCCCTAGAGACCCTCAGCCTTCCCTTGAGCTGCCCAGGAGTCATCCAGGCTCCTATGGAGTGAGAGACAGATAGCCATGAGGAACGCCTGGCCCACTTCCCCAGGGGAAGGCAGGAGGTGAGGAGCAGGCCTGGCCCTGCATTCCCAGCCCTGGTCCCTCTGGGACTCTGCACCAGCCTATGTGGCTGCTTGAGGGCAGGAGTCTCACATTTGATTGGCACTCCTAGGCTTCCCCCTTGAGGTTGGCTGTCCCTGCCTGCTGAGAGCCCCTGAGCACAGGACTGGAGGAGGATGGCACTGACCTGGTCGCATCTCCCTCGTGGTGGGCCAGTTCTCTTGCCACCAGGACTCACAGCTCATCAGCACAGGGATCTGATGGGAGGCTGGGGGGTGGTCTTGGGGACCACCATTTTTTTTTGTTTGTTTTTGTTTTTGAGACAGAGTCTCACTCTGTTGGCCAGGCTGGAGTGCAGTAGCACAATCTCTCCTTACTACAACCTCCGCCTCCCGGGGTCAAGTGATTCTCCTGCCTCAGCCTCCCAAGTAGCTGGGACTACAGGCGCTCACCACCATGCCTGGCTCATTTTTTGTATTTTTAGTAGAAACGGGGTTTCACCATGCTGGCCAGGCTGGTCTCGATGTCCTGACTTCATGATCCATCTGCCTCGGCCTCCCAAAGTGCTGGATTACAGGCATGAGCCACCATGCCCAGCCTAGGGGACCACTTTCATTGATGCAAATATTGTGATACTGATTCAGCACTCCCTGAGCATCTGCTGCAGGGCCCTGAGGACACTGTGGGGACAACATGCCCCTTACAGAGACCAGGCCAGAGTGGGAGACAGACTTCAAGTAGATAATCACAAATCAGTGTGCAATGACACACTGAGATTGTGCTGCTAGTGAGAGAGTATTAATCTGTGGGGTGAGGAAGGTCTCCATTGCCCTCTGAATTCCCTTAGTCGCTCCAAACTCCTGCAAGGTAGGGTCTGGGGCGCCCCCTGCTGCCCGCTAGGCCCTAGCACTGGCACCTCTCACCGCAGGTCGCAAGGCCCACAGGGCCAGGGCCAACCCCACATTGGTTGCAGGGCTCCAGCCTCCCCCTCCTCTGTCCCTGTTGAGGCTCCTGCACCCCAGCACCTCCTGCTCCATGCCCCCTTGCCAGCCAGGGCAGAGAAGAGTCTTCTCTATTAGGCTTCAGTGACAGGGAGGTTGTTAAGGGACGAGGCGCCTCTTGGGAGAATAAAGCATTGGAGGAGGTCCGCTGGGTGCCCAGTCCCAGGTTGGGTGGGTGGCCAAGGAGACCCAGGCCCTGCCAAAGAAAAGAAGGAAGTTCACAGCAGAGTGGAGAGAGACAGCACTTGGTCCTTCTAGAGCTGGCCTCAGTCCTCCTTGCAGCCTCTGACCGTGTTCAGAGCGTCCAGAGGAGGCAGAAAAGGCACCTTTTCTTGGAGATGAAAGCTTCAGGACTCACAGAGGCACCTCTGGCCCATGCTGGAAATGCAGGTAGCTCCAAGTGGCCTTACAACTACCCTGTCTCAAAAAGTTAAGAAAAGAAAAAAAATTAAATTAAAATAATGAATAAAAAAGAGGAGGGCCAGGTGCGGTGGTTCACGCCTGTAATCTCAGCACTTTGGGAAGCCGAGGCAAGCGAATCACAAGG